AGGAATGCATTTCTATTTGACAGAAGCATGGTGGAAATTATTAAAATGTAATTATAGCTTAATTATATTATCTCCAGCTTACATCTTACTATAAATTACATTTTAATCGTGAACACAAATCGTATCTTATTTGATTTAAATGATTTGTTTCTTTGCTATCTATCCGTCTATCTTAAAATGAAATAAAACCCGAAGATCTTTAGTGTTAAACTTAAAGCATTAAGAAATAAAAAATAATGAAAATACAAAATTATAATACGGTTTTTTTATGTAAACATCACAGCAGAAATAAAAGTTTATAGTAATAAATATATCGATATACTGTACTGTTTCCCATGTGGTTCATACATGTCACGTGGTTTTTGATTTTCTTCTTCTTTTCTTTTTTTGCAAGTGCTATCTAGAATTTTACAGCCTCTAAGATTATCCATTTGCCTGGAAGAATCATCACCATAGTACTCTGTTACTGTGGCGATGATTGACCCTGAATCAGAGCCACGCCTACACCTTGAGCCACATTGTATTGCAGCAGGGCTTCTTTAAAAGGCGCACTTGCTCCAGTTCAGGCACACTTCAACAAACTCTCTCTAAACGCACTTCCTACTAACCACTCTCAGTTTTACCAGCATATGGAAATGGAAGACCAGATGGAAAGCCAGAAGAGGAGAGGAATGAGCAAAGAGGACTTGATATGTAAGCTAACTTTCAATATCATTATTATTATTACTTCGTTTTTTTAGGGTTCGATATCCTGTTACTGGCTGTGCTAAATAAGCTATTACTATTACTACTACTACTTCATTCGAGAACAGAGTTATATCCTTCTCCAACAAGGCACAGTGTTATTGTTGGCCAACAATTACATGTAAAATATCATCCTTGTTCTGTGAGTCATTTTAGTATCAGTTTTATATCTGTATAGTCGGTGTGGAGATGGAAAGCAGCTAAACAGACTAGGGTTATAGTTTGACTCTATCGTCATAGTGACAGAAATCACATGGCACCAAGACAAACAGTCCCAAAGCATGTGACTTTTTTTATATGTGGTGAAAAGGAAGCGCTGTCATGTTCGCATGTATGGAAATGTCCTTTATGTGGGCGTTGATAAGGGGTTGTTTCCATATCACTTTTTTATCCATTGTTTTTATTATCACCAGCCTGTCGGACAAGATAATGCCAAACGGATAGCTGTGCGGGCAGCATTTCTATTTTTGACGTAGGTAAAATATTACCTGGGTGCAGAGATCGGTTAGTGTACTGAGACAGCTAAGATTTCCTTAAATGTCTTAGCTAAGTTTCTACAACTCAACTAAAAGTATGCAAGTATGCTTATTATTTTTTCTCTAAAATGAAATATACAGATATTAAAAACAGGCACAATGAAAGCTGTGATTGAAATAACATGATCATCTTGTATTATTTTTAAAATATATAACTTCTAAATAATAGCCATAGAACATATGAAACATCTGAGGTGGGTTTGCAAGGTGGATTGAAACTCCTGCAGACTTCAGTACAGTGGTCTCAGTCTCACAGCAACACATTCAAACCACAGGAAGCTGTTTCCTGTTGCTGATCGATGTCCTCTTGTTTGAAGGCATAAACAACACCTTTCTTTCTTCTTCTTCTTCTTTTTTTTTTTTTACCACAGAAAAGATACCACAGAGCATAATAGCAAAATAAAGGTCATCTCTCAACTTTATATTAAAGTATACTTAAGATCATCCTATAGTAGCCCTGTTTAGTGATTCACATTGGAGTCATTTTGTAATGCTTTTATTGTAAACCATATAAAGAGGCTCAAATGCTGTTATTAGAGGTGAAACCTATTACACATAGCACCTCTCCCAATTTTTTATTTTTTTTAAAGGAGATGATATTGCATGACTAAACATTTGTGTAAACTGTGGGATGGAAAACTGAGTGTGAGTGTAATTGTCTGAAGTAAAATATGAATTACAACTGTGTAAACAGGCCTTCTTATTTACCCGTGCCTGCGCTCTGGTTTCCACCCACGCACTTTTGCATTGTGTGGCGGCCTACTTCGCAGATGAGGGTTAAAAGCCGTCCCTCAGGTGTCCTGTGTGGTAGATACAGAAAGCCAAAAGATCTCACCTCCAGTTCCAAAGGGATCCACAATAAATTTAAGCAGGTTAGTCATCTGGGACATTCTGTACTTATATGTCTCAGATAAGGTTTTTTTTTGCCTTGTTACAATTCCAGGCGCTCATTTTATTTTTATTATTCCCAATGAAAACCAGCTCACGTATAAAATAAGCAGATAAATTAGCCATAAAGCTGAGACTTACGCTTCAACATTACAACATTTCCCTAATGCTGCTTAATAATCCAGCATAAAGTTAAACGTCATTGTTTAATGGCCACGTCACAAAACCGCAGAGAAAGACTGTACACCATGAGTCTGGAATACACTGACCCTTCTCTGTTTTTAATGGCTTCTTTTCACAAACAAAGCAGAAATCCCAAGATTGTATTGCGTGAGTAAATATTTCAGTGTGTGCACAGAGCATGGGAGAGTGTTTTCATGTGTACGCTAACAGTTTAGCTCTCTGTGTATCTGTGTTTGCTCTAGGATGGAAATCTGAGGAAATATACACAGATAGGTATCACAATAACAAAGAAAATATTTATTTTAATGGTTGACACGGACCTTTTGTTTATACCCAACATTTAAGATAAGCTGGAAATGTGAGGAGCAGTCCAACAATAAGACCATTATGAACTGTGGGAAAATATTAATTACAATTGTCGGCACGTAATCTACTTTTGAATAGTTTGTTGATCTTTTAGCAGCTGAAGCTTGAGAGCTTGAAGAAGATCTTTGTGTACCTCACCGAATCAGAACCAATTTTCTATGTAAGCGTGATTAAAGCTAATACTTATAACAAGGTAACTTTCCTCTCCATCCACGTATGGGTGTCAAAGTGTGCCAAACACATTTAAAAACACGCCGTCTCTGTTTTTCTCTCTCTTTAGCCGAACGCACAGGATCTTTGGGAGTGTGCGGCTGGATCATAGTTATACTCGCTGGCCTATTCACAGTTCTGCTCTTCCCCATAACGATCTGGTTTTGTCTGAAGGTGAGCGAGATAACTAAATAAGCACAGTGGGCTGAGGAGCTGAAACCACAGTTTCCTTTGCTGCTGTGAACATGAACTCAGCTTGTGTTTTTGGTCTTGCAGATCGTTCAGGAGTATGAGCGAGCTGTCATCTTCCGACTGGGCCGCATCACAGACAGGAAGCCTAAAGGACCAGGTAGAAACGCTCAGGGTTTGCACATTTGTTGGGTTCTTAGACAAAAGAATTTGTATTTACTTTATTTATTTTGTCCACAGGAATTTTCTTTGTTTTGCCATGCACTGACTCCTTTGTGAAAGTGGATCTGCGAACCATTTCATTTGACATCCCACCACAAGAGGTAGGATTGTAGACGAACAACAAAATGATGTAAAATTGCCCCCTTGCAGCATTATAAAATGACTCATCATGCTGGTATATGTATTTCTTTTATAGATCCTGACCAAAGATTCAGTTACAGTTAGCGTAGATGGCGTGGTCTACTTCCGCGTCAGTGACCCCATCGCATCTGTGGCCAATGTTAGCAATGCTGACTTTTCCACCCGTCTGCTGGCACAAACCACCCTTAGAAATGTCCTGGGAACCAAGAACCTGGCTGAAGTCTTGTCTGACCGCGAGGGCATCGCTCACAGCATGCAGGTATAAAACGTGTGTGATGTGGTTTTTAGAGGTTTTTCAGAAGCCAGAAAATCCCCTTTAGATGAATCTGAATATGAAAAACCCAGTTCCATTTTATTTTTGGCATCATATTTCTAATACCTAAAAAAAGACTCGGATGTTCGTAGTATCTGCTCTGTTTCCCAAACATACTGTGTATTTACACTGTAAGCTGTAGCTGTGATCATCTCTTCTTCTTGACTTTTCCAGTCTAACTTGGATGAAGCCACAGACAACTGGGGGATCAAGGTGGAGCGTGTGGAGATAAAAGACGTGAAGCTGCCGGTTCAGCTGCAGAGAGCCATGGCCGCTGAGGCCGAGGCTGCGCGAGAGGCCAGGGCTAAGGTCTGGAAATGTCGCACATGAAATACTTCCTAGAAGTGCATTATTCATTTCACGCTTTTGACTTTTAAATGACTTATTTTGCATTTCCTGATCACTCACTCTGTTTTGATCCACGCACAGGTGATCGCAGCAGAGGGTGAGATGAATGCATCCCGGGCCCTGAAAGAGGCTTCCCTTGTGATTGCCGAGTCTCCCTCAGCCCTTCAGCTTCGCTACCTCCAGACTCTCAACACCATCGCAGCAGAGAAGAACTCCACCATTATCTTCCCCCTGCCCATGGATGTCATTTCCCACTTCATGAGGAAGTGAGGTCGCCGGCTTGATGACGCCTCAGCTTGTTGCTCATCAGGAAGCTTGAATCAAACGACTGATTTGCATATATGTGCATAAAAAAACAAAAAGCTGTTGCGAATGCCAAACAGTAATCACAGAAAATCTTCATGTTTACTTCAAGGTGTGACTTGACTAAGCCTGTTGTTATTTGTCTAGAACAATATTCTGATAAACTTTTCCAGTAAGTTGTCTGCAATTCATTATACAGTGCATGAATGACTGAATGAAAGCTTTTGCTGCTTTGTAATTATTGTGTTTGTAACATTCTTTATAGTTTATATTCTCATCGCTTAACAGATGATGTTATTTCTCTTTTGAATTTATTTGTTAACTACCAAAAGATTCTTTCATTTCCAAAAATAAAAGTAATATAAAAAGAAGTAACATCTTGTGTAGAGAATTATTTCGTGGCGTCTTAAAAGATGAGAAGATTGTTGTTTGAAGAAAAGACAAGTGATGACAAAAAGTAAGTCAGGGCTTTGAACTATTAAACTAGCTCTGAATATACAGCAGCTAAACACACGTTAGTACTACTAAAATGAACACAAGGATTTCCCTCACTTTTCTTAAACATTTTAATACTCTGCTCTCCCCCAAAAAGAACAAATCAAAGGCATCAACATACTGTGCATCACATTACATTGATGAACTATTTCATTCTTCATTTTCTAGGTCTCCTACGCTACAGTTACATTTTTGACAATCACAAATGCTGAGAGGTTAAATAAGAGAAAGGGAGAGCGATAAAACAGCAAAGACAGAAAAGAAAAACAAAACAAAAAACATGCTTCTATTACTCTGTTGGTGCACTAAGACACAGCTCATGTTGTAAATGTATTTACATTCAAACGTACAATCAGTGCCAGAACAAACAATATTCTGTAAACCTTGTTCCTCTACCAGTTCCAAAATGAGTCTTTGTATAGTTTACACACACAAATTCAAATTTAAGAGCTGAAAGTCGACAAACATTTGCTACGACAGCATTTTAATATTAAAATGGGCATTTTGCCCCCTAATAAATGGAATAAATTACTCGTGTATTACGGGGAGGCTCAGCCAAGTGCTACATGTTAAATGGCTGCTACATAGTCGTCAGACAAAAGGTCCTTGTATATTAAACAAAATCACATGAACAAATTGTAAAAAAGGAAAAAAAAACCCTAAAACGCAGTAGTTAGGTTTTTGACATTCAGCACATAGTAAGATGTCCACAGGACACATTGCAGGGTCACTACAATACCAGTTTATTGTTTAGAAATCAAAGTCCATTCAGTGGTGAAATATTCATTAAATACGACACTGGTAACTTTGCGCTGTCACTTGTAAACAGTAGTTTTGTTGCATCCATGTTGACTGTAGTTTTTTGCAGCTTAAATAACTTTTTAGGAGAAACCTAAAGAATCTTTCAGTGTCGGTGAATTGTGGTCCTACAAAAACTGAAAACACAGTGACTTTCTGACTGGCATGTTCTTTTTGACATTCTCAAAAACTGTTAGTATAGGTACAAAATCAGTCACAATTGAGATACTTTTTTTTTTCCCTTTTTCAATGCCAACATTTGCTCGTTTAAGAACAGTTAACCCTGTGTACGTCTCATAGAAAAAAAAAGATCCATGAAAAGAATCCCGCTTTTATTTCTTTCTTTCTTTTCAGGACTGTCAAAAGTGCTGGTATAGCAAATACAACTTTAGTTAAAGGTAATGAAAAACTGGTAACTCAGAAACGCCATATATTTTACATGCTGGTAACATTTTCATCTGTAAGTGAACAGAAGATGTAACCAGGGGCGGTTTTAGAAATGTTAAGAATTGGTGCCCCCCGCCCCCCAACGCAGCCCTATTCCCCCCTTTCATGCATCTATTAAACTATTAACAATATTTGATCAGCTTCTAAATCTAACTCATGCTCCCATTAGCGCTGCCAACTTCATCTTTTCTCCTGGGCCTGATGTATTTACAGTGACCCCTTTTTAACATATCTGGACTTTTTTAGCTTTGTTTTGTTGTTGTTGTTGTTGTTTATTTGTGAGTAAATCTGAGATTATACTGTACACAAATTTGATCTTGGCTTGTTCGAAGCTGGACGAGAGATTAAGACCCTGAGGGGAAGTTAATCTGAAGAGTACAGTACAGGAGGCAGGTATAACATACTGTGTGCTATAAAATATTTCTCATTTGTATATATCAGTTGTTGGTTTCTCTGTTGTATTTGATATAAATGAAAAATTATCTTGGGGAATATCTTGGAAATGTATAATGCTGTGTTGAGAAGCTCTCTCTATATTTATATAAAAAAGAAAGGATTTCTAATCTAATTTTAGAAAACAACTCCCTGAACAATATATTCTCGCACACCGGAAATCCAGCGTAGCTCGCAACAACATGATAATCAAAGAATAAAAAGTGTTGTTCAGATAAACAAACCAGAAGAATATCTGAAGAAGTTAACAGACCGAGAAAGGACTACGTTACTGTACTACACCACGAAGAGGTAAACGGAGGGTTCGTTTTTGAAAATTTACATAGCTTATAGATACTATATTTTACCATACGACACCATCAATGTACAGTTTTCTGCAGAAGTTTGTGCATCAGTGGGCAAATTACATTCTTTACAGCATGTTGTCTTACAAAAATCTTTAAGGTCTGTTAAGTTAACAAAGCTTTGATGCTTTAAAAGTTAGCTAGCTATTAAATAGTAAGATAGATTTTGTGCATGCTGCAAAGTTTTAAAGTTAATGAAACAAGAATCTGGGCATTAGGGTCTGAACAAAAGGGTTTCACTTCAAAAACTTTGCAGTCTCCTCAGAGGTGCAAAACTTTTGCAAAAAACTGCATGTGTGAAGACAACCAGTCACATAATATGCAGTATATCCGCTTTCTCCTCAGGTACATCACATTCGACTTGTGACCTGTAGGTGATATTTTATAAGTAACTAACGCCATTTATCTTCTTCACACCTCGAGCTTAATAAATAGACAAATCACAGCAATAATAAGTTCCATGTTAAAACTGGAAGACTTTCACAGTACATGCTTGCTAAGTAGCAAAACACATGTAATAAATTAGATAGAAACGTTTCTTTATAAAGAAATCCACAACATTTAAAACAGTGATTCCTGTGCTAGGTTTTCCCCCCTTAGCTTTGAGCTCCGCGGTAGCTGTGTGATTTTTGTTGACGTTGCCGTTGCGCTAGAGACACAACAGACGGCACATTCCCACTGAGGTAAATCCAAAATGGCAGACATAGTTTTTGCAAGTTGACCTGAGGGATCCCAGAAGTGAAGAGTAGCTCATGTGTAGGAAGACCTGGCAAGGTTTTAAAAGACATAAGTTCTTTGTGTTTTGCTGATAAAAATGGCTGGGGTTCCAAGTAAATCTGTCAGCTAAAATTAAGTAATTACAAAATTTTAAATACAGTTTGAGGAAGGTAAGAAACATGACTTTTAGGTGTTTTTTTTAATATACAAACCAATTCTTTATCCAAAGTCCTTTATAAATAAAACATTGGTCGTTCTCTGCTGGTGAGGTTGCAGGACCCAGTTTAAGGCGCTTTGTTAGGGATTTTTTTAGAGATACAATCCAAAAAAGGAGAAACATTAATTCATGATTTCATGAAAGCATGGGAAACTAATCCCAATTAGAAATTATAGCTTATTTTACATAGTTGATATATTTGTGTTCGTATCACCCCAGAGTATGTGCTGTGGTGCCAGCAGTGTGCTACTTTCCATCTGTAAATGTGCACTGTTGTACTATGTACTGTGCAGGACTCACAACTACCCATGCAGGGGAAGTTTACAGCACCGTTTGTGCCGCTATCATACATTATCTACAACCTACAAGTCAAGACTATTTCAGTAAAAGTGTGGGCTGGGAAAAAGGAGCTTGCTGTCATTATCACAGTATGTATCCACATTGTGTTTCTGTGTATGATGATACTTTCATATGATGGACACCAACAGCTGTAGAGCCTGATAAAAGTACAGGACTGTGTAACCTCATTGCTTTAGCACTGAGTGTACAGTCTGTCCAGTTTATGCTGTGATGACTGGAAACCACAGGCTTGCAAAAAAACAAACAAACTGAAGGTTGGGAAAGAGAAAATAAAATAAAGGTCAAATGAGTCAGAAGAGAAAATTTAGAAGGGAAAGAACTTATCTCTGCAAAGAGCTGAGAGAAGTATTTGAATTACAGCGACTGCGTGATGCCCTGTGTGTGGGTGTGACATGGGTGGGGGAGTAATTCTGATTAGTTACTGCCCTGTGTGTGGGTGTGGCTGGTCCTGGTGAGAGATTCTGATTGGTAGCAGCAGCTCTGTGGGAGGGAGAGGAGTACTGGGCCTGCTGAGGACAGCCATGGCAGTGAGTGGGGGAGTCACACCCTGCTACAGGTGAAGAGGAAAATAATGGGGATGAGGGAAGTGGTGAGGTAGAGAAGGAGCGGTGGAGTGGGGAGGATGCTGGAGACACGAGAGGGCTGGTCTGGAGACGCCACAGCAACTCCTCGTTGTTCCGACTCAGGCGCTTCTTCTCAGTGCTCTCCTTCTCGACGGACTCGTGGAGGTTTGCGTTCTCCTCAGACAGTTGTCTGCAGGGAAAAAGACAAAAAGGGAGGTAAAGTTAACTCTCACCTCAAAGGTTGACTCTGGATGTACCAACAGGAGAGGTGGGCATGAAGTAGTGAATGCTGAGCATTAATGTTAATGATGATGCCTCTTACCTGGACAGGGCTAGGTTCTTTTCAATGCGAGCTTTAAGATCTTCATTCTGCTGTTGCAGAACCTGCACTTTTTCCTCGAGGAACACGTTCTTTTGGGCCTGCTCAAAAGCAGAAAACAACCATACCGCAATCTATCATTATACAGACCACACTGACCTTTCTGTCTATTCAAAATAGTGCGAATTTGTGGAAAAGGCAGTGTAGAAGATGCTGGTTAAGGTGGCTTATTTGAGCCTACCACTTTCTCCAGGTCAGAGATCTTCTTCTCCTGCTGGTGTATCTGCTGGTTCTTCATTTCCACGACCTCCTTCAAACTCTTGAGGTCTTGCTCGATGTGTTGATATGGCGCTAAAGCATCCTGCCAAAAAATAAGCGCATTTAAAAATAAATGAATGAAAGGGAGTGTTTGAATAAAAGGCACCCAGCGTCTCAGAAGTATGCCAAGTTTCTGTTTGTGCTCTTTGTATATATATATATGCAGGGTATTTACTCACCACTATCTGTTCATCTGTGCTCCTCCTCAAAGCCTCCTCAAAGCGTTTGGCCTTGTCCCTCAGACTCTGGTTTTGAAAGGTGAGCATATCCACTTGATCCTGAGAAAATGCACACACAAAAATACAAGATTACACACTGTACCAGTACAAACATCTATATTTAAACCTAAAAAAAGATCTTCTTTTCAGTATCATACCTGTAGAGAAAGTCTAAGCTTCTCAAAGTCCTCCTCTAGAAGGATCTTCTGTTGCTCGTGAGCTTTCCTTAAGTCTATGTGCAGATTTAGAAGGATGATAAAAGAAGAGAGCTGGTGTGACTCCCTGCAGTGCTTGCATCATATTGTTTTTTTTATTTTTATTAAACAAACCCCACATTCATACCTCTCATAGTACGGGCGTGCTCTTCATGGAGTGTTGCCATGGTGATGTTGTGCATGTCTCTGAGTTCCTGAATGGCTGCCTGATGGCTGACTGTCATCTCTTCGATCTAACGCACAGCCACACACGTGTACACGTGCACGTTAAAGCCAGCTAATAACAGAAACAAACCAGTCACCTCCCACCGATGCCTTTCTCCTACCTGCTCCTGCTGTTGAGTCCTACACTCCTCCATCTCTGACCGATGCTCCGCCTTCAGGTGCTCCGCCTCTGCTGAGTGACACTTCCTGAGTCCTTCCTCCACAGCAGCCAGCTCTGCCTCCTGTTGCAGCTGCAGCTCCTGCAGCTCTCGCTCAAACGCCACCTCCAGCGCTGCCTTCTCTCTCTGGAGTCTCTCCCAGCGCACTGAGTTTGAGGCTGTGCATGAAGGACATCTAGTCATCTAGTTACGCGATGAGGACACTAGCAGCTATAGAAAGCTTAAAACCAACATTTCTATTTGGAAATCATTAATGCAAGTCATTTTATGAAGTCATTTATTAGTCATTTATAAAATGTAAAAAAAAAAAAATCTGCCTTTTACACTAATTACACCTTTACAATTCACTGTATGAACAGCCCAGGTGTGAACAATAGGTAGTTATAATGGTCTAGTGATTCTAACTAGAATACATAAACTGTGCTTTAGTTAATGTAACAGCCGTACATTACTTTAAGTGATTTGATTTTTACCCATTTCCTCTCTGATCTTTTGCATTTCCAAAGACAACTTCCTTTGATTTTCTTCTGCGGTTTCATTCTGAAAAACAAAAATGAACGTCATTGTTGACACAGTGCACAGCCCAAGTACAAATCAACTGGAATTCTTAAACTCAAATGACCTCAGACTGGCCTTGAATTTGGCCAAAGAGAATAATAAAAGTTTAAATAATGAACAGAAGGCCAATAGTCTATCTTTGAAATGATTTAATTATGGATTTACTGGCCTTTTAACTACAAAAAACTTGTTGACACTGGGTTTGTTTGGCATTTTAGCTGCAGTACTGACTGCTTTAGTGACATTTAAAAGATTTGACAGAAAAATAAACATTGTAAGAACCTGTTAAATAATCTGAATTTAGTAAAGTAGAAAAAAGTCTAGCTCATGCCCTAAATTGAGTATTACTGCTTTGTACAATTCACTTACTAGGATGTTATTTGTGAGGCTACAGGTAAGGTTGATGGGTATATTAACAGATGCGTTTTTCATTCATTAACCAACGTAGTGGACAACATGCTTTGATTTGAAATGTACCCAAAAATCCACACTGCCACAAACAGCTCTTAATCTTTTCCTTAAATAGCAGTAAGGGATTTTTTTTTACTGCTAGAAAAAAAAATTCTGTTGCTAATCAGAAGCTTTCCAGATGTTATTGCACTGATTAAAGCGTCAAACCATATCAGGGCCCTGACTGTGGTTCACAGATGGCTGTAGACATTCACTTTACTTCTCTCATACATGATGACGATGATTCAACCCAAAAGTTTCAAATTTGCATTTTCTTGTTGGTGCAAAAATACTCTTTTATGTCAGATTATGTTGTCTTTAGTAATTTTGGTAGGCTCTGCTTGAGAAAAGGGAAACATATGTGCGTTTGTGACACATAACAAAGTGCCCAAAGACACAATTTCAAATTGTCTTTTTTGCTTAGTTGTGTATTATGTTTAGACACCACACTAGTTTAGGTGTTTTTTTGTGTGTGAATGATTCATAGGTTAATGTTAAGTGTCTTAAACAAAAGGCCATTCATCAGAAAATGGTCGGGTTCACGTACAGGGCTGAAAATGAGTGAAAAAGCAGCCAATGATGCCAAAGACCTTCAGAAACCCTACCTATCGCTTAACACCACTTAAAAAAAGTACAAGAAAGTCTGGCTTATACAGAACTGTTTACACAGTATTATATACAATGCTCTAGCTGTAGTTTTTGACTGATGCCAGCAGAGGGAGCTCAAATCCACTCAAAAGTCACACTTGTACTTTCCCTGTCTTGAATATCTGCAGTGTGGACCTGTGATTGCAGCACTCAGACAATGACCATAAAGAAGTCAGACAGTCGCCCGACAGTCTGGCACTGGTATTACTACCACAGCACCTCAGAGGTGAAATCATCCCATTAGACAGAGAACTGGATGAAACCAGATCAGTGACACACTGAACTCTGGTAGACCCTTTCCACAGTCACACTGTTCAAACTGTTTGTCATCCAGCATCTCATTGACCATGCTGTGAACACTTCATGCTGTTAAATACTGCATGTGCCCTTAAATTCACGCGTGTGCACTGTGTGCACGTGTGTCATACATATTAGGCTTGGTGTAAACACTAGGACTGCGGTATTATGTTGTAAATCTGCATGGGATGGCAGGTGAACCTTTAAGCCTTAATATGGTGATTACAGTAATACTGTGCACAGTATCATTCCAGTTCGCTACCTTGAGGCAATAATGCTGAGTGGTGACTATGAAAGCTTCTAGACCCAGCGAAGTCTTCTTCAGTTCATCTCTAAGAGCTTTCAGCTGCCTCTCCTGCTGTTCGCAGCGTCCCTGCAGCCTCTGAACCTGAAAAGCGACACAGAATAATACCAGAATGAACAGCCCAAACGGTGCTGCAGAATTTCTCAGTTACCCACCTCTTCTCTTTGCTTTTCTTTTTCTCTCTCCTCCGCTTGCCTCTGTTTCTCTTTCTGTTGAGCCTCCTCTTTCTCTCTCTGCAGGTTCTCCTGCTGTTCTTGCTGTAGCCTCAGGGGGGCCACGCGGCGAGGGGAACCAGAGGGAGCTGAGCCCCGGACTGCTGCTGCACGCAACAAAGACAATCAAATAAGGTTAGAATGAGCGTGTGTGTGTGTGTGTGTGTGTTTTAAGGAAACTAACAAGACATTAGGGACTCACAAATGTATCAACTGAACATCAGCCAATTAAACATATATACCGAAGTTTATCTGTTCTGTCACATCAGTTTTAGTGTTGAATGACAGTGACAAAAAGGAGAGGCACTTTTAAAACAGTTCAGTAGTTTCCCAGCATAAAGAGGTAACAAACAGGAAGTAAATACATGAAACCAAAAAAATATCCTTAATGGAATCTGGCAATTTTAAACATCAAAATTCAACTGGTGAATCAGTGATCGCATTTTCAGGATAAATGGTAGTAATTTAATTAAATCTATTTTTTAATACAGTCTTCAGGTAGTTTCTCATAATGAACCATTTAAACTCATGATAAATGTGTAAACTTCTCTCATATAACGATTTAACACCACGATTATGCTAACGTGGGTGTTTTATTTACAACATGCATATGTAAAGAAACATTTGGGCACATCAAAGTAACGGTGTCTGAAGGGGCACAATCATTAAATCATAGCTGACACACAAGCAAGGCGATTAACCCTTGTGCCACCTTGTTACAGTGCGAGTGTGTGTATACCATAAAATTTACTCTATATTAGCAACAGACTCACAAACCAGCCTGTAGGTGGAAATGTGCTTGCACACAAAATAAAATCACAGCAGAACACCAAATCACCTGCCTCAACGTTATAATTCAGGCCTGCTGGAGCATGGGGAGTGGTCTCCATGGCAACACGAGGTTGGGCTTGGGGAGCAGGGTCCCAGGTAATGAGTGCAAAATTGTTTGGAGGGAGGTGGGGGTGCGGAGGGTAAAATACAAAAAAAAAAGAAAGAAAAAAAGAGCAACGAATGGATAGAGCGGAATAGCTGCAGATGAACTGAATAACTGTCTTGGTGATTGATGTCTATAACCTGTTTAACCAAATATAACCAAAGGGCTTTGGGTAGAAATGTAACACATTAGTAGGAGTAGCTCTCTGAAAAAATGACAGAAATAAAGACCAAAAGGTAAAAAACTGCAGAGATGTTTTGATGTCATCTGTTAAAAAAAATGCAAGCGTCAGCAATTGTTCCAGAGCTCCATCTACCTCAATGTCCTTTCTTTGCCTTGAAGCCTTATTAGGAATCCCTTTCCCTTATTTTCAGCAAATGCTCTCTGCCTCTTTTTCAGGCACATGTGCACAAGCATGCATGTGCACACACCTAGACATGTGCAGGTTCTAGTTGAAAGGTTAGAGAGAGGATACTGAATACTAAATGAGCCTATATGGATGAGTGTGAAGGCAGCATGCAGATGAGAGCGGAGAGGTGGATGGATGAGAAATAACGATGCAAGAAACAATGAGAAAAGGTAATGGCAAATCTTGCGGAGAGCATAGATGGAAGTGTTTGTCTGTGTGTTTTTAGGGTGTTCTTAAAGATATCAAGGCCGAGATATTCACGAGGTGAATATCAGTTTCACTTTCTCTCGCTAGCATCTTGCTGGGATCGTGTCCAGAGCAACTTCAAGGTGGAACAACAGTGTGCAAATTTCAGTAAACAAGAGCAAAATCAATGATGCTGGGAATTTGAAAGAAGAAAAATGCTTTCATTTTGGGACCGTGTAGGAGTAGACGAGGTCCGAGAAAGTAGCAGTAAAGACAAAGGTGAACAGCAGCACCAAAGTGAGAAAATAAGTGGCCTGAGGAGATGTGTTTGACTCTGCTAGGAAACATCTGGATTCTCTCCGCAATCCCAAAAGAAAATTACTCTGCTCTTTCCAGACCACATGGATGAAACCACAACATAGAAGAAATTGTTAAATATCACAAATCTCCACCTCAAACTGTTTAGAACCACATCTGGGTATTAGAAATATTTGGGGGGCGGGACACCCCAGAGCAGAGTGAGGTGGAGCTATACAATACGTGTCTTATTGATCAGGGTGAATAGTGTACAATTAGTCAGCCACCGGGATTCTGGCACAGGCTTTTTTAATTACATACAATTTGACTTGCCATCGTAGGACAAGCACAGGTGTCTATATTACCATCAATAGTTTTCTGCCCCTGTGTGCGAGTCAAACTGTTCGATTTCTAGCACCTCTGTTTTGTATTGTAGACAAAGAAAACCACTATTCCATATATCTACACTTTGCATAATAACAAAGAGGAAAAACTTACCTGGAGACTGAGGTTTGGGAGGAACCACAGCCAGCCTTTTTGGAGAGGACGGGAGAGAACGTGTGACTTCTGAACTCCGCTGAAACTCCTTCCTGCTCACTGTCACAACACAAGGTGTTGATTAGGCTCCGAATATCACACAGTGACATTTGGCTAGTACAGCATGTCAGATATACACACATGAGTGTCAAATCGACTTTGCCTGCCTGCCTCAATCTTTTTTTATTGTACCTTTTTCCATTTCTTGGCTGATTTTCCTCCTCTCCTAACTTTTTTCCAATCTTTCCAGTTACCCCTTCTGCTTTCATCTCCAGCTACATCCCCCCTGCTGTGTAGTATAACTATGTCCCACAGGATTGCGGGTCAAAAAGAAGCTGAGCAGATGTGCTAAAAATCCTCCTTCGTCTATGTGACACTATTGCACTTTGTAGTCAAGACAGGCAACAATTAGGAACTCCCAATGATTTATTAATATTATTTCAACCCTCAAAAACATTCTCCTGCGTTTCACATTGAATCTTTTGCAGAATAGTGAATGTAAGAACAAGTGGCTGGATTTGAAACAAGTACACGGGAGCTCGAAATGTAGAAAATTGGGGCGAAAAATTCTAAGTGGAGGAGAAAAAAGAGGTGACGCAAATAAAGAAGTAGGAAGGAAGGAAGTTTCAAGAGGTTAGCAGGGAGACTGGTGTGAAGAAGGCAGGAGAGTGGGAGCGAGACCTTGAAAAGAAACTAATTAGACCTGTTACGGGAAAGAAGCCTCTGATCCTGAACAAATCCCCATATAACCCTGGAGGTTTCTTTTGCTCTGCAGCAACACTGTGTGTGCGGTGTTCAGTGTGCATGTTTTGGTAAAATCATGCAAATGTGGCTCTCAGAGGGAATCTTTATTGCCACACACTGTCACATCACATCACCGTACTGACTCGAACACACAGTGAGGCTTTGTAGAATCTGAATTTAAATCTGGATGGGCTACTTGAAAATAAAAGGTCAGCAGATGCTTGTGATGTGAAGCTGTTTAGGATAGCACAGCTGCATTTCCCATTGCCTACATGGAACACCATGCTTGTATGAGCACCTTTTCCAAACAAGTAGAACATGTTCAGATGAAGATACAGATATTTTTTACATGAAATAACCGTTGTTATTTTTTACAGGCTGAAGCAGAAATACACGTGCTCATGACATGTTACTTCAGTTTTTTTGCTGCTAAAAGTGTTTCTACAAGTTACTTAATCATGGGGGTGTATTTAGTTTTTCCACATACAGTTTTTGCATTTCTGTCAGG